TTTAAACTTCCTTGAGGGAAAATAATTTTTTTGAAAGCACCTTATGATGGGGAGGTGACTCTGCTTCCTCCTGAGTTTTTTTTTATTTATCTCCTTGACCTGGAGGCTCTTTGTTTCAGAACCCAGTGCTGCGTAGGTGTTCACTCCGTTCACCTACTCCTTCTCATGGAGGCTTTCTCATAAAAGGAAAACCCAGAATTATATGATTCTATGAAAATTGCTGTATTTGCCTAACTGGATGTAGGGTGATCAGATGTCCCGATGTTATAGGGACAGTCCCAATATTCAGGGGTTTGTCCTATATAGGCACCTATTATCTCCTGTCCCAATTTTTCACACTTGCTATCTGGTCACTCTAGCTGGATGGCATTCCCTCACTCTCCTCTTAGCAACTTGGGAGGTTTTTAGAAAGGTCTTCAGGAGCTGGCTGGGATTCAGTGCTATTTCCTGAGCTCACTCTGGGTCTCTTCAGTGCTTTTTGAAAATAAATACATGTAACAGTGCTGCTTTGTCAGCACGGCTTGTGTTTCTCTTTGAGCAGATGTGCTTTTGGGGGGCTCATTTAATTCCCTTTTTCTGCTGCAGTCACTCCTGTGTATGATTCCTGAAAAGAAGTTGATGCTAAAAAGTGCTGTTGTGGAGCAAAATTAATGCTCACTGTTAGGGGGCTTATTCCTTCACCCACTTACTTCCCTGGTCCTTCTCGCATGAACAGAGAGCAACAAGACCTGAAGTCCAAAGGTGCAAACTATTCGATATTTATTGGGGTGAACTTCCAGCAAGCGTGATTCCAGTTTACTTCCTTAGTATCCTCCTTCCCAGCTCTGACACCACAGAGCCTTACACCTGTGTCCCTGTTCCCATTCCTGCCCTTAGCAAAACATGATTCCAATTTCCTTACCCCCATTCCCTGTTCCCATTTCCCACACCCACCCACTCACTTCCTGATTGAAGACTTGATTATGTAAAGAGTTGTCACTTTGGATGGGCTAGCACCAGCAGGAGAGTGAATTTGTGTGGGGGGGTGGAGGGTGAGAAAACCTGGATTTGTGCTGGAAATGGCCCACCTGTTGATCACTTTAGATAAGCTATTACCAGCAGGACAGTGGGGTGGGAGGAGGTATTGTTTCATATTCTCTGTGTGTATATAAAGTCTGCTGCAGTTTCCACGGTACACATCTGATGAAGTGAGCTGTGGCTCACGAAAGCTCATGCTCAAATAAATTGGTTAGTCTCTAAGGTGCCACAAGTACTCCTTTTCTTTTTAGTAAAACTTGAGTTCTGCTTAGCTATACCTTAACCAATCATTTTCCTGAAATTTAACTAACCAATCCTAACATGATTATGTAACCAATTATATCCCACCACCTTAATTAGTTTACACCCAGCAAAATTAATTATACAGCAGACAGGAACAATCACAGAACCAGACAGAGATTATACAGACAAACAATAGCAAAGTGGGAACTATGATGACAAAACAATACAGAAGTGAGGATTTCACATACCAGCTATTGATAAGTGAGTTCTTGCCAGACAGGATGCTATCAAACTAAGTTTTCTTTTATATTTTCTAGGCACTTCCCTTTCTCTGGAGGCGACAGGCATTATCAGGACAGGATTGTATTCCTAACAGCCCAATAGCACCTTCTTTCAATGTGACTAGTTTGGAATGTGAGGATGTGACCATTCACTTCCCAGCTTATGGCTGCCTCTGCTGCTTAGCCAGAGGCCTTAGCCTAAGCACAGGGCCTCAGACTGTCACAGTAAGAGAAGGACCTTACACTGTCAGACAGTGATTTTGATTCTTTCTTTTATACCTCTAGAACTAGCCAAGTGATAAGAATACACCTAAATTCTTAAAGTACAGGCCTTTGCAGACAGGCCTGAATATCTATATCCTAACACTCACCTTTCTTCTTCTCTTCCTAGCAGCTTGGTGCTGCTAACGTGGCAAGGGTTGCCAGGCATCCAGTTTTCGCGGAATGCCCGGTCGAAAAGGGACCCTGGCTGCTCCGGTCAGCAGTGCTGACCGGGCCGTTAAAAGTCCGGTTGGCAGCGCAGTGGAGCTAAGGCAGGCTTCCTATCTGCCCTAGCTTCACGCAGCTCCTGGAAGCAGCCGGCATGTCCGGCTTCTAGGTGCAGGGGCGGGCAGGGGGGTCCACGTGCTGCCCCCACCCCGAGGGTCAGCTCCGTAGCTCCCAATGGCCAGGAACCACGGCCAATGGGAGCAGCAGGGGCACCGCCAGAGCCACCTGGCCATGCCTTCGCCTCGGGGCCAGACATGCCGGCTGCTTCCGGAAGCAGCACGGAGGCAGGGCAAGAAGGGAGCCTGCCTTAGCCGTGCTGCACTGCCAACCAGGAACTGCCTGAGGTAAGCGCCTCCTGGCTGGAGCCTGCACCCCAACCCCCCTGCCCCAGGTCAGAACCCCCTCCTGCACTCTAACTCCCTCCTGGAGTCCACATCCTGAACCCCCTCTCGTACCCCAACACCCTGCCCCAGCCCTGAGCCCGCTCCTGCATCCCAAACCCCTCATCCCCAGTCCCACCACAGAGCCCACCCCCCGCCAGAGCCCTCACCCCCTCTAGCATCCCAACCCAACCTGCTGCCCCAGCCCTGAGCCCCCTCCCACACCCTGAACCCCTCATTTCTGGCCCCACTCTGGAGCCTGCACTCCCAGCTGGAGTCTTCCCACCCTCCCGCACCCCCTACCCCAGCCCAGTGAAAGTGAATGGGGTTGGGGGAGAGCGAGAGACAGAGGGAGGGGGGCTGGAGTGAGTGTGGGCGGGGCCTCAGAGAAGGGGTGAGGCCGTGGGGCAAGGGTGTTTGATTTTGTGCAGTTAGAAAATTGGCAACCCTAGGAGGGTTGCATGTGCCTAAGTGACAGCATTAATCTGGTGTAGCATTAATCTGCTAAGCCCAGGGGGCATAGTGCAGATCCCCAGACTAATGTGACCGTGGCCCTAATGTGAGGTCCCTACACTACAGTGAAACTGTGTTAGCCAAAACTGTTTTTAAAGATGGTTTCCCCCAAAAGGTGCTAATATTGTTTATCTGACCTGTTTTGGTAGGGATCTAAGCTACAGAGGTTAGCCCAAAATAACCTAACATAGCTAGACCTGGAGGACAGAGGTACCATGGTACCAACTTTATGGGAAGAATCCTGTTTTAAAACTCTTCTGGCTACCGTGATTCCCCTGTAGATGAAGCTGGGCCACTCATGACTTGCGCAGTATGGTGAATTGGTTTCTCAGCACAGCCCCTGCCACTAAAAGCCACAGGAATAGTCCCTACTTTCACTAGCTATGGGACACAGTTTAAGCATAGCTATTGCAAAACTGGTTTGTAACAGGGTTGCGGTGTTGCTGTCCAGACTTCTCCAAATCAGGGTGGGAAAACTGTGTTCCAGACTGGGCTGGATTGGGCTCGTTTACCCAGGCCCTTTGCACTACTATTACCAATCTGGGACCATACTAACTATACCAAGAGCTAGCGACATGTGCAAAGCTAGTGTATAAGCTCATAAGCAGAGAATAAGTGGAGCAGATGCAGGTAGCACCAAGGCTCACAGGGAAAGCCTGGAAAAAAAGGAAAAATGCATCAAAATTTGTGCAAAAGCAATGCACAACTACAAAGCAGAGGAGATAAAATGTAAAAGAAGACCCGTGGGTATTCTGGAGAAAAAACATGACAATGGAAAATGACCCAAATATGGGATCATGTGCAATAATTCTGGCAAGAGAAATCATTATGCCAAAGCTTGCAGACAAGAAAAAACAAAGAAGCAAAATGTGCCATATTGAGGAAGCAAACAATTGAAAATAAACAAAGAAACCTAAAACCCTACTAAAACAAGACACTCCACTCCACATGCTTCTCCCCTGGGGAAACAATGAGAGAACAAACAACAAAGAACAGATGTGTAATCATATTGATTACACCACTACTAGAAGGCACTCTGATACTACAAGTGAGGAGTGTAGTATTTGAATAGAATAAAAGAGAACAGAAATTCTTTCAAGAATACATCGGAGCCATTCTGGAATAGAAGGCTACAGCTGGAAAGGCAGAGATGCCATAATACTAGTCAAACATGACCAAGGATATCACAGAACTGCTGAGCAGTTGTGATACCTATGGGAAATGAAGGTCAAGCAGCAAAAAGAGAAATGAAACTACACAATATTCCCAACAGACATTGGAGCAAAGTAGGAATGGACCCTTTCGCTGCAAACCACACAAACATGTACTTCTGGGAAGTAGATGAGCTGTCAGACACTACCTCAGTGACCATCATAGACAAAGCATGAAGCATTTCAGCAGGCTTGGTATCCTGAACTGTGTAGTGTAACACAACAGATGCCAGTTCATTTGCAGTGAGTTTGTGCACATTACCCAGGAATGAGAATTCAGTCATATCACATCATGACCATACCACAGCTGGTCAAGAGGCAAAGCCAAATTGGCAGATAAAATTGCTGAGGCTCTGTTAAAGTAAGCTGCAAAATCAGAGAAAATGCATGGCATTCTTGAATGGAGAAAGTCTCCTGCAGAAGGTATGACTACCAAGCAGCCTGGTACAATGCTTGATGTTAAGAAGCACACTTACCTTGGTGCCCAGCATTATTACAACTGGCAGTGGTGGAAGGAGTAACAGACAAAAAAAGGAAGAGACACGCAAAGGCAAAGCCTACTACACTTGACTAGCTACAACCAGGAGACCCTGTGAAGATCAAACTATTTCTTCGGAACAAATCATGCACCTGGAAGCAAACTACATCTGTTGAACAGACAAATCCTTGTTCACATTACGTAGCAGGGGAAGGGTTTATATGACACCAAAACCAGAAGTACATTCATCCACTGTGAACATAAGACAAAACCAGGAAGTGGAGAATGGTGAAATATGCGCTCCACTGAGACTAGCTCAGCAGGACATGGAAGAAAACACAGGCTGACAAGCCATCTATAGATATTGGAACAGACTCTCAAAACACACTCCCACCAGAAGAGCCAAGTGCAAGAGAATCTCCTGTTATCATAAGAGAAACTCTCGCTCCCTCCAGCATCCAGCCACCTGCAAGGTAGATGCATAACTTTGTATAATACTAAGGCAGGAAAGAACAACCATCTGAAACGCTGAGGAAAATACCTTAGTTGCAAAAAAGTTAAGAGTTAGGTAAGTTAAAAAAATTGATTTGTTATATATATATGATGATATAGACTTTAATGGAGTTTAATAGAATGTTAAATATGTAAGCAGGTTATGGTGTTCACATTTAATTTTGCTATCTGAAATTAATGTTTCAAAAGGGATGTTATAATAAATAGCTTCCTGATTGGGAGCACTATGGTGTGATTATGTAAAAGAACTTATTGAACACTACTTACAGGAAGTGTAAAAAAAAATCCAGCCTGGGTTCTATTAAATAGTTTTTGTGGGACCAGAGGGGAGATAATTTGAATCCTCATTCCCATCCCATCCCAATTTGTCAGTAATTTTGTAGCCTGAGATTTTCAGAACTGGATTTGGATGCCTAATTCCCCCTAAAATTAATACAGTATTTCATTAAAATTGAGGGGAAATTCACTTCCAGATTCCTATGGCAACTTTAAATTCTCTGCCACAGAATATTTTTTTCACTTCTAAGATTCTTAAGATTTCTTTTTAAGTCCTCAGCTCTAGTAACTCCCAATATGGACTAAATCTTTGGGAAATTTTAAAAGCTTAGCAGTGGAGCTTGTATTTTAAAAACACATTACTATAAATATTTATATTTTTCATAGAAACCTGCAGGATTTGAGAGAGAGAGAGAGAGACTACAGAGCAGAATGGGTATGCGTGGTGGGGTTGTTTGCAGAGCCCTGTGCATAGACCCCTGTGCATAGACCCTCCATGGCCTGCTCACTCTTGGCATTGGACCTAAAGTGCCTTAGCCATCCTTGGAGAGAGGCAGCCTTTGACAAATGCGAGTTCAGTGAAAGGAGGGGAGAATATTTAAAATTATCTTCGTGTGATTTGGGGCTAACTTAAAGGTGGGATGGGGAGCAGGAAGTCTGTACAGGAATCTGCAAAGGCACAATATATAAGTTTGGTGGAGCTTCATTCTCAAGACATTTCAGGGAAATCCTGCAATATTTGTAGTTTCCAGCCAAATCACCTTGGGCCAGAATCTTGAGCCCTTACTCATGCTGGTGAGCCATTATTCATGTGAGAAGTCCCAAAGCTTAAGTGTAACATCCACAGATCCTGGCCGTCGGCAGGCAGGATTGAACCTGGGACCTTTTAGTGCGGGGTGGGCAAACTTTTTGGCCCAAGGGCCACATTGGGGTGCGAAACTGTATGGAGGGCTGGGTAGGGAAGGCTGTGCCTTCCCAAACAGCCTGGCCCCCGCCCCCATCCTCCCCCTCCCACTTACCGCCCCCGTCTGCCCCCCTCAGAACCCCTGCCCCTGACTACCCCCCCAGGACCCCACTTCCTATCCAACCCCCCCGTTCCCTGTCCCCTGACTGCCCCCCCCCGACCCCTATCCACAGCCACGCTCCTGACAGCCCCCCCGGGACCCCACCCCCTATCCAACCCCCCCTGCTTCCTGTCCCTGGACTGCCCGTGTCCCTATCCACACCCCTACCCCCTGACAGGCCCCCCGGGACTCCCACGCCCTATTCAACCCTCCCATCCCCTGACTTCCCCCCACAGAACCTCCGCCCCATCCAACAGCTGCCTGTCCCCTGACTGCCCCCTGGGACCCCCTACCCCTTATCCAACCCCCGCTGCCGCCGCCCCCTTACCATGCTGCCCAGAGCAGCAGGAGCTCACAGCCCCGCTGCCCAGATGGAGCCAGGTGTGCGGCCTGCGTGGCAGCATGGCTGCAGGGGAGGGGGACAGCAGGAGAGGGACCAGGGGCTGGGCTCCCCAGCCAGTAGCTCAAGGGCCAGGCAGGACGGTCCCTCGGGCTGGATGTGACTTGCGGGCTGTAGTTTGCCCACCTCTGTTTTAGTGCATGAGTCTCTACTGCATGAGCTAAGAGCCATAGGCCTCTTAACTAAGGCTGTAGAGCACTCATTAATCTCTCTCTCTCTAAGTGGTCTCGGTACCATTAGATGGGACAGAGCACCACACCCAGGAGGTGTGTGGGTTACATAAGTACTTGTGAGGGTGAGGAAGGTGTCTGTGCTCTGGCCCTTTTGTTAACTTTTGGGTAGCTCTATAGGCTAGAGGAAGGATGATGCAGTGGTTAGGATACTAGTCTGAGACTTGGGAGATGTGGGTTCAGTTCCCCACTCTGCCACAGGCTTGCTGTGTGACCTTGGGCAAGTTACTTAATGTCTCTGTGCCTCAGTTCCCCGTTTGTAAATTGGGGATTATAGCACTTCCCTACCTCACAGGAATGCTGTGCGGCTGAATATATGAAAAATTAGGAGGGGCTCAGATACTGTGGTAATGGGAAGGTGTGTAAGGATCTGAGATAGATCTGCTGACTCCACTCAAACCCGTTGCTGCTGTTACTTTATTATCCTACTGACACCCTTACAATCAGCTTAATAATGTGCTTTTTGATTAAGCATCTTATGTCTAAGAGGAGGGAGCTAAAATAAGCTCCTGTCATCTTGCCTTCTACAAACTACAGAGCTTATGCTTCTCTAGAGTTGCCTAAATTGCAGCAGAAAAGCTCCTGTTGCTTGTTAAGCTATGCTTTATCTTTGGACATATGCTGTGCCCAGGAGTGAAAGTAACTTAAAGGATTTACGGTACGCCGGAGTCCGGAGTGCGGGCGTGGCCTCAACCAGAAGAGGCACTTTAAAGGCCGTAGCGGCGGCAGGACTCTGGCGGCGCTTTAAAGGGCCCGGGGCTCCCCGCAGTAGCAGGAGCACCAGGCCCTTTAAATCACCACCGGGGAAGCCAGTCCGGTCTGGCACTGCGTACTGGCTGTTGCCGGTATGCCGTACCGGACTGTACCGGCTTACTTTCACCTCTGACTGTGCCCCTCCCCAGACCTGAAGGCTTGTTTGGTAACGTGGTCCTGTGTTTTCCAAAGGGATTAGTTTTGTCCTTTTTGTTTAATGGTGATTGGTTACCTCTGTTGCTACAGCATAGAATGTGAATAAGGAAATAACCAGATGGTGGCATCCAGGTTTTTATGTAATGCTGCAAATGTGAGCTGATTGCCAAGGAAAATCTTTTCTCTACCCCACCCAAAGGCAAATTAGGCATGAGAAAATAATGATAAGGGAACTACCTGGAGTAAACCTTCTACAGCAAATGCAATTTCTTTGCCTTGTGCTTATCTCCTGGATAGTTCATTGTGGTTCTCAGCTGCAGCTTGCAGAGAGAAGTGTTGGAGACACAATACCTTTGGGGGAGATAAGGGAAGAACTGTGCCTCAGGTCTGCTTGCGCACCCATTGCCACCATGAAAAGCCGCTCAAAATCAAGCCCAAAGTCTTTGGCTTTCATAAGTATTCTTACGAAAAGGGTATTTAAAATTCTTTTCAATGCCAGTTTGCCATGTGGTGTTGGATATATTTAAAATATAATTAGGAAAGGAGCAGAACCAAGTGGAGTTCCTCCCTTGCTTTGAACAGCGTACACACACTGTACACATCTTTATTATAGCTAGTTGTAACATGTTTTTTTTTTTCTGAAGAAAATAAAGAAAATTTTGTCAAAATTTCTCATGGAAAAAATTCAACTTTTTGGCAAAAAATCAAAAATCATTATACTTTGGCCAAAACCATAAATGTTTCAATTATGAAATGCAGCTGTGGGGTCTCATGGGAGTTGTAGTTCGAGTGCCTCATGCTCCCATTCTCTTCTATGTGCTGCACTCTCTGGTTGGAGTGCATCTCTCAGTCTCCCCTCATGGTGAGGGGAAAATTTGGTGCATCATGGGAAATGTAGTCTTGCTGGGAGTCCCACTGATAGAGGAGAGTGGGGACATGAGAAAATCAAACTTCATTTCCCATGAGGCACCTTGGCAGGATAACCAAATTGAGATATTTTAATATTTGGGTGCTTGCTTTTTCTATGAAAAAATGAAATGTTCTGTGGAAGGCAGACACTTTTCATGAAAAATGTAGTTTAGTCAAAAACTCAATTCCACTGAAAAATAGTTTTGATGGAAATATTTTGATCACCCGTAGTCTTCATACAGTGAAATGTTGCCCTCTACCACAAGTTAGAGTGGCATCCAGAGTGCTCTAACATGGGCGAGGGCAGAAAATCGGGCAGCCATAATTGCTTGTTGGTTTTTAGATTCTTCTCTTTCCTGAGCTGCCCTGGTGACTGCATGGAGGAGGGGAGCCATGCCATCTTTTGCTTGGTGTTCCCCTCGGTTCAGGTAGAGCAATTGAGTGCCTCTCCTACTCTCTCTCGGGCTTCTACCGCCATGCAGGTAAGCAGACAATAGAACAACCAGGGCCCCTCTCTCCTGCAATGCAGCAGTGGGAGAACTGCTCTTGCAGCTCGTAGGGCTCCTGGCTCATAACAGAGCTGTTCCTGAGGCGTTTGTGGAGGCGGTTCCTCTGCTCTGTCCCCAGCAGGGCTGATTCAAACACTTTCCCTTTCAAAATATCCAAGTGAGGCTCAGGAGACACATTTTCTGTTCATAGTCGAGAACAAATTGGCTTCTTAGCACAGCCTGCTGCCCAAGCACAGTGGTTCTCAATGAGGGGTACGAGTACCTTTGGGGGTATACAGAGGTCTTCCAGGGCAGGGGTTCTCAACCTTTTTCTTTCTGAGGCCCCCCCCAACATGCTATAAAAACTCCAGGGCCCAGCAGGAGAGGGGGGGACTCAGGGCTCTGGGCTGGGGGGAGCTCAGGCATAGGTGTAGTTTGACTTCTATTTTGGGTGGGCAGGGGCCAGCGGGGCTCAAGCCAGCTCCGCATGGTGGGTCTGGGGAGAGAGTGTCACCCCCACCCCCTGACTCACCTCAGCAGGCCACCCGCCTGTCTGGATTTGGGGAGGGGGTCGCAACCAAAAATTATAATTTAAAAGTGCGGGGGCTCAGCTCAAAAAGTTTGAAAACAACTCAGGGTGCAGGGAGAAGGGTGGCTGGGGCTGTGTGTGAGCAGGGGGGTAGCTTAGGATACAGGGAGGCGGTAGTTACGGGCTGTGTGTGGGCAAGGGGATAGCTCAGGATGCAGGGAGGGGGTAGCTCAGGGTGCAGGGATGAGGGTAGCTTGGGGCTGTGGGCAGGCAGGAGGGTACCTCAGGGTGCAGGGATGAGAGTAGCTAGGGGCTGTGTGCTAGGAGGGCTCCCCTGCGGTCCCTGTTCCTCAAGGGCTCTGCCAGCCATGGAGCCGGGTCCCCCTCACCCAGATGGCTCTTACTGGCTGTGTGAGCAAAGGGGGCTGGGAGCTGAGGAGCAGCTTCAACCCCCTGCAGCAGCAGGAGACGAGGGAATGCCGTGGCTGCCTGCTCCATGGCACCAGCCAAAGCAGCAGCTGTCCCACACAGCCTGGCTCTGGCTTCCCGCCTCAGACCGGGGGCGGGGAGTGAAGGAGGTGGGGGGAGAGGTATGGAGCTGCCCCGGGACTGCCCTGCTCTTGCACTGTAGTTTTTTTTTGGGGGGGGCAACACCCCTGTGTTTCCCCCAACTCTGCTCATGGGCTCAGGGCTTCTGCCCTGTGGGGAACACTGGGGCTTGGAGCTCCAGAAATCAGCCCTGCTGCTCCTGGCTTCAGCCCCATGGCGGTCACTGGGGATCAGGGCTTCAACTTCACAGTCCCTGGCTTCAGCCCAGCGGGAGGTGCTGGGGGTGGGGCTCAGGGTTTTAGCTGCAGGGTCCCTGAAAGGGTTTGTGGACCCTAGGGGGCTGCGGACCCCCTGTTGAGAGCCGCTGTTCCAGGGCGTACACCAACTCATGTAGATATTTGCTTAGTTTTACAAAAGGCAACATAAAAAGCACTAGCGAAGTCTGTACGAACTGCTCTATACACTGTACACTGAAATGTAAGTACAATATTTATATTCCAATTGATTTATTTCATAATTATGCTGTGACAGTTTTGTATTTTTATGTTTGATTTGTAGGCAAGTAGCTTTTAAGTGAGCTAAAACTTGGAGTACACGAGCCTCCAGAAAGGGGTACAGCAGTCTGGAAAGGTTGATAGTCACTGCCCTGGAAGGCCACAGTTCAGAGCTTTGAAGGCCAGACATTGGGCAACTCTGGTTTATAGCTTTGTTCTTTTTCCCCCTGCAAAGGGAGGGGGGCGGGGGGGGAAGCCTCTTTATAGACAAATTGGAAAGCATTCAGAAAGGAGCTACAAAAGGATGAGCGGTCTATCAAACCTGCCTTATAGTGAGACACTAAAGAAGCTCTGGCTATTTAGTTTATGGAAGAGGATGTTAAGGAGTGACTTGATCACAGTCTGCAAGGAACTCCATGGGGAAGAGATTTCTGATGATAGCAGAAAAAGGAATAAGGAGATCCAGTGGTTGGAAGCTGAAGTTAGATAAATTCAGACTAGAAATGAGGCTCAATTTGTAACAGTGAGGACAGTTAACCACTGGAACAACTTACCAAGCAACATGTATTGATCACTTACAGTCAACATTAGGTATCTTTCTAAACGATATGCTATAGCTAACATAAGTTATGGGGCTGATGCAAAATCACTAGGTGAGGTTCTATGGCTTGTGTTGTGCAGGAGGTGAGACTAGATGATAATAAATTATGAAGCCTTCTGGCCTTAAAATCTCTGAATCTATGAGAACCGTTGTTAGCATTTCAAGTGTTATTGCCAGCAGGTGGTGCTGCTGATTTCTTCTTCACGTGATGCTAAGCAGACTTCCTGTAAGGTGACTAGTACACGAAACAGTTTTCAGAGTACATGAAACAGTGTATTCTTTTTTGCTTCATATGATGTTTGGACTTTTTTTTTTCCTCCACGTATTTTTTACATTATCGATTCAAGTCTTACCTACTCTTATGGGGACAGGGGCAATGGTAAAATAATGACATCACAAATTGAGAGAGTGAAAATTGAACAATTAGGAGTAGAAGTCACTTTGAGTCAGGTTGTTCAAACCCTTTTTAATTCTTATTTAACTCAAGTGCCTAGCAGACACTTGAGAGTAATGATGTCTGTTAAAGTATCAGCTCCTTCAGTTTTTCAGTCACTGGGGGAGAGCTCACAAATCATCATCATCATCATCATCATCATGATTATCATAATTAATAAAAACTGAGACACCCTCCTCTCCCCCACAAGAGGTCCCCAGCACAATAAGGGAAGATCAGACTTGAGATTCTTGATATGTCTAAAGGTGAAACGGAAGCAGAGGAAAAAAAGAACCACCCACCCCCCCAACATTTCAGGCCTTCTTCAACCATGTTAAAGAAACAAAGGGGTGCAAACCCAATTTAAAAAAAATCTTTGCATGCCTCCTCTAAGGCCTTGTCTACACGCACAAGTTACTGTACCTATAGTTAAAGTGATACAACTTGCCTCGTGTGGACACAGTTAGTTATATTGATATAAAGTGTCTTACACTGGTATCGCTTGTTGTTCCCATATGGGAATATGCCATATTGGTGTAAGGCACCTTCATAACAGTATAACTGCTTCAGCACTAGGGATTTCAGTGATATAACTGTATTGGAACCCTCCTCCCACCCCCCCCCAACCCGTTTTGCCCTCCAATTGACATAGTTATACCATGGCCCATGATGCCAATCTCCAATATCCTCTTGTTACATTTTCCAACAAGCATCTTTGTGCTTTCTCCCATGTCCTCCACTCCCCCGCCCCCACTATGGTCGGGAGGTGCTCCCCATCAACATCAACAAAACTACCACATTATCATCCTTCAGATGATGGCTGCTTTTGTGCAGAGATGACTAACTAATATTGTCTCAGTGTTTTCTTGTACGCCCATGTCTGTATATATCTATCTGTTATCTCTTGTGTTACATTTAGATTATAAGCCCTCGGGGAAGGGACCATCTTTTTATTCGTTGATTGTACAGTACCTAGCGCAGTTGGATCCTGATAAATGACTAGGGCTCCTAAGTGCTATCATAAAACAAATAATAATACCAGTACAAAAATTTGTCTAGATCACACATCGGTCAGTTTTATCCCAACTGTGTGGGATAAAACTGACTCCATTGAAGTCAGTGAGGAATCTGGCAAAAAAATTTGTCTTCTCCATATCTAACAACATTTGCCCAGTAATGACTGTGTGGAAAACTCTCTCTCTCAGTTCTGTTCTTCCTGGAGGTTCAATTACCGAATTATAAGAACCTAAGATTAGATGTTTTTGACAGCTCCCAGACTTGAGCTCATGAGCAGATCCCTGAGCTGCAGATAATAATAGTAACACTTAGCATTTGTATAGAACCATCCACCTAAAATTGTCAAAAGTACTTTAATTGATTAAGCTTCACAACACCTATTTGAGGTCGTTGTTACAGATAGGGAGACAGAGAGGCTAAATGGCTTGCCCAATCAGTCAGTGTTGAGATGGGGAATTAGAACCTACTTCCACTGACTCCCAGTCCGTATTATTAATTTGTATTATAACATCACCTGAGGCCCCATTTAGATTGGAGCTTCATGGTGGTAGGCCTTATCTAAACTCACAGTAAAAGACATTGCCTACCCCAAAGAGTTTTGTCTACTGGGCTCTGACCCAGACAACACTGCCTCCTGCCAAAGGGAGCAGAGATGGATTGCTGCTTGTGTATAATGTCTGTATTGAAAGGAAATCATTTGAGGGGCCTTTGGAAAATTTGTTCTGTGACCAAGATCTATGTCAGGTTTCAGAGTAGCAGCCATGTTAGCCTGTATTCACAAAAAGAAAAGGAGTACTTGTGGCATCTTAGAGACTAACCAATTTATTTGAGCATAAGCTTTCGTGAGCTACAGCTCACTTCATCGGATGTAAGATCTGTGTGTGTGCCTCTCTTTCTCATATGCACAGGCTTTCACCTGATGGGAGACATTAGTCAATGGAAAATTTAAAAGAGAAGAAAAAGAATTAATCAGTGAAAATAAAAAATTATACTAATATCCATCCTTTGCACTTACAGAATACAGCACCTTCAATGCAAATGTGACCCTCATGCGACGCATCCACACCAGGAACTCAAAGTGCTGTATATTAAGTAAACTTCACACTGCCCTGTGCTGTAGGTAAGTGTTGATGTATATGGAAGGTTACATAGAGGTTCAGGGACTGGCTAGAGATCCCAGTTTAAATCAGGGAGACAAGGTGCGTGAGGTAATATCTTTTATTGGACCAACATCTATTGGTGAGAGAGGCAAGCTTTTGAGCCACACAAAGCTGTTCTTCAGGTCTGTGAAAGGTACTCCGAGCTTCACAGCTAAATGCAAGGTGGGATAGACTGTTTAGGATACAGTTAGCACATATTGTAAGGGACTATTCAAGGCGGAGTGTCCCTTTAACACCTCTCTAGTCATAAGACAAGAAAAGGGGGTTAGTGGGTTACAGATTGTTGTAATAAACCAAAAACTCCAGTGTCTCTGTTCAGTCCATTATTTTTAATGTCTAAGAGAGTGATTAATTTAAGCTCCCAGATTCATCTTTTCAAAGTGTTGTGCTGGTTTCCTTTTAGGATGAAGGCTGACAGGTCAGATATAGAGTGATCACGTGCACCACAGGTGTTTTATTTTTTATCATTTGCCTGTGTGAGTTCATTCAAGAGCATAGTGATTGTCTGGTTTTACCCATGTAATTGTTGTTAGGGCATTTAGTACACTGGATGCATTTAGCTGTGATGCTTGGAGTACTTTTCCCAGATAGGGTTGCCAACCGTCCAGGATTATCCTGGAGTCACCTGGAATTAAAGATTATGTCATGTGATGAAACCTCCAGGAATACGTCCAAACAAAATTGGCAACCCTATTCCCAGACCTGAAGAAGAGCTCTCTTTGGCTCCAGAGTTTGTCTCTCACCAGCAGGAGTTGGTCCAATAAAAGACATTACCTCATCCACCTTGTCTCTCTAATATTTTGGGACTGACACAGCTACAACTACGCTGCATACGGATTAAATCAGGAGCAGGGATGGGAATAGAAAACAAAAGTTCTGACTTGCTGGCCCATGTTTTAGCCACTAGATGCACTGTCTTCCTTCAAAATCACAAACTGAAAAAGGACCGATGCCAAGTATCCATTTGAAGAGTTACATCCGAGAACAGGAATGTCGTGGGAACTCCAACAAGGCATTAATGGGCACACGCACAACCTTGCATCTTCTTGGAGAAGGGAATGGGAATGATGGATGTAAAATATGCTCTGTTCTGCTGCTTGATAGAGCTCTCAGCAGTGCCAGCCTATTGATCTAAAATGTTTGTTTCCCCTTGCTGCTGGTTCCGCAGTAATCATTCTTTCTGCCAAAATAAAGTAGACTTAATAGGAGAGAAGACAAACATACATTATCTGAGTTAAAGCTCATGAGCTTGGAAGGATTTGCCAGAACTCTGTTAGCAGCTGCAACAGATGTAAGGAAATTGAAATTAATTCTTGGGTAAAGTTAAGAAGCAAGTAGCTTTGAGTGCTGGATGGTCCATGAAATTGGTGCTGGGACAGAGAGATTTCCATCTCTGTTTCCAGAGTGTCCCCTCCTGCACAAGAGCATGCAGAGGGGAACAAAGTAATGTAGAAATGCCACAGCTCCATTGGAGGAAGAAGCCACTTGTTCTCCTGTCGCCATCCCAGTCAACGGTCCTGGCAAGCATGTGGTGTGAGCAAAGGCAGAACTCAAATAGACAGCTGGGGCTAGGAATCCAGGCCCACAAATCACAGCCAGCTACTCTGACGGACTATCCTGCCTCCCCTTTCCACCCACAGCAGCATGGCTGGTGCATTAGCATGCAGTATCATTGGCTCACAGCCCAGTGCTGTGCTCTGTGACACTGCAGCTTTCCCTGCAGACTGATTTATGTGCAGTGTAGCATGACTTCCCCTCCCCAGCACTGCTTCTTGCTGGGGGAGGCAAGGTGATGTCTGCTTCTTGCTGGGGGAGGCAAGATGATGTCATAGATGGGGTGCAGCATTCTGCACAACTACTTGTCTTTTCCACAGGGTTCAACCAGCATTTCCATCACAGATTGGTGCCCCTCCTTGCTGCAGATTGGTAGAGCCTCTGGACTTCTGAATCCCGTCTACACTGGTCCAAGAATCAGGCTTGCTGAACCACTTTAAATCACAGCTTTCAGTGGATACAGGCTAACTCAGTTTAAAACCAGTGGGGCTGACTGGTGTGAACTGAGATAAGCAATGTTCAAAACCAGTTGGGAAGCCCTGTCTCAGTTTTCAAACTTGGTTTTAAATGCCAGGTGGACTTATCCACATTGGCTAAACAAACCATGTTTAAACCAAGTTAGACTAAATGCACATGAACCAGTTCAGCTATCTTGATTTGAGACCTGTTGTAAATGAAGCTTTTATTGGTAATTTGGATCTTGTTCAGGGACTTGTTTCACCCACGGGGAAAAATTAGTGGGTGCTCCTCACCCACCGGCAGCCAAGCTCCCCGCTCCTCGCCTCCTTCTCCCCCCCACCGAGAGCGCCACGTCCCTGCTCCTCCCGCTCCCTCCCAGCGCTTCCCGCCCCCCCCCTTGCCACCTAACAGCTATTTGGCGGTGCTTAAGACTTTCTGGGAGGAAAGGGGAGGAGCAGGGACATGGCCTGCTCAGGGGAGGAGGCGGAGAAGAGGCAGGGCAGTGGCGGGGACTTGGGGGAAGGGGGTGGAATGGGGATGGGACAAGGGCAGTGCAGAGGCAGGGTCGGGGGGGACGGGGCTCGGGGCAGGGGGGCAGGTGAGCACCCTCTGGGCAGAGGGGAAGTCGGCACCTATGACTGAAGTAGATAACGTTACTCTGGATTTATCTAACAGAGGTTAGGGGCTGTTCCCAAGTTGTTTTTATGTGATGCAAGTTTGATTGTCATAATTTAGTTTCTAGCAGACAAGTGTTTCCTTCTCAAAAACCACAACCCCTTATAGCAATCTCAGCAAAGAGGCAGGCATGAAGATTGAATTACAGTATCCATCTCTCTTAGGCTGCATTTACATGGGCAAGGTTCAGACTCATGAGTCTCCCTGTAGGGCAGGTGCAGTGAATCTGTAGTAGTAGTGGACAGGTTTTAGGCATTTTTACTGGGACTGTTCTGTGTTTGTACAGTATCTAGCACAGTAGGGTCCTGGTCCATGACTAGGGCTCTGTGGTCATACAAATAATAAATAATAATAACATGTAGAGAGGATTTTTGTTTCCCTGACTGTCAGTACCTTACTAGGTACTAAAATACTGTCGGTCTGTCTCTCTCAAAGAAATCTGCTACTGTGCATGTTAAAAGGGCTTTGGGAATGTGCACTTGAAATTATCTGGCTAGCTTAACATTTGGAGACTAGTGCTACTCAGATCTGACCCAAATATGACCATAGTTATTAGTTTGTGATATACTAATAACATCATATGTATTTCACTCAGTGTGAACTTGTATGACTTTCTCTCCCTTCCCTCAATCAAATATACTTATTTCTTGGCTGCAGTAGCTGGAAAACTGACTTTCCCTTGTGGTTTATATGAGGAGAGGACAGAGGAGAAAATTGTTCCCTTCAGTCAGGGCCAGATTCTCCTCTGAGTTACAGCACTTAAGTCTGAAGTAAAATAACTTGAGTTAGTATGGTTACACGGGTATCAATGTGGAATAACGAAGAGCAAATTTTGTCCCTAAACATTCACCATCTGTTGCATGTTTGGCTGTAATAACAAGTACATAAAATAAAAATGTAGCAAAAATCATTAGCTCGCTCTGTCTGTGGCGTTTCCCCCCTCCCTCTCTCTGTTTCCCAATATTCTAATTAACATATGGGGAGTGGTTTTCACTTTATTTACAATGCTCATAGGCTAAAGTACCTTGTGGGTTGGGCCTGCCTCAATTTGCCTTTAGGGAGTCAGCCTGAATACTTGAACTGAAGCACTTAGGAAGATGCAGCTTTTCCTGTCTGTGCAGATTTCTGTGTGGTTATTTTTCTTATAGTAACATTGTGCTGGATATTCACTTAATAGGAAAGGAGGGTTTTCATTTTAAAAGCATCATGAGGCACCTACTTTCACAGGGGCACAAGGTTAGTAAAGAAAGATTTGAAGTTATTCACGGATTGCCAAATGTCATTTTCTTTCATTGTATTTATTGCCAAGCTAACATGGAACAGCTGATAGAGTAATGCTGTCAGATCATTGCTTTATGTCTGTGGGGCTGGGAGGGAGTAGCAATTTTAGAATTTTTCAGAAAGAAAAGGAAAAATACTTAAATGTGTGATGGCGCTTTTCAAATTAATACATTGATTGGATATTGCCTTTTTTTAGTTGTGTAGAAGCTGGGAAGCCAAGTTCAAAGATATTGCCCTTGTTTGTAAAACTGTACAGTACACTTTTAGACGGACTTTGTAACCTTCCACACTTTAAATGTGGTATGACTGGCTTTTTGTCTGTGATGCTGAGCGCCCCACTCTCACTGATGTCAAAATGGAAGCTGTGGGTGTTTTTCATTCCCTGAAAATTATTAATGTCTTAATAGTTTCAAACAGTGCAATATTTTGAACTTGAGATGTCCTGTACATTGAATTAGGGGTGTGCTGCACTTTGACCAGTGTAGTTTTAAAGAGACAGTGAAACAGTCATTTTAGCATTATATCTTTGGACAGCTGCCAGCTCAGAATATTGGGTAAAAGTGGGCATTTCTCTTGACACATTTGAACAACCACTGCTGCTTAGCTAAGGACCTGGAGGAAGAACAGTTTGACTAGTCAGAAGTTGAGGTTTCTTTTCCTGTTTGTATTACTGTTCCTTTGCTTGATGTGAGTTTAAGATGCTCTGTCTCCAAAACTGGAGCCTGATCTTGGAAGGTGCTAAGCATTAAACACTAGGCATAAATGCCGCCCAAATTCAGACCTAGTGCAACTCTGTTGACTTCAGGGGAATTGTTACATCTTTTTTTCCCATCAGGGCTGAATTTGGCTGACCATTTATAACAAGAATATATGTATTATGTGTTAGTATCTACAGATCCTGCTCTTAATTGCACCAGTGCAACTTTATTGAAGTCACTAAGGTTGCATGGAAGTATCTGTGTGTAGAGTTTGACCCCTTCTGTTTCATTAT